GCGAAAAACATACTCAAATTAAAGCCAAGTAATACATTAAAAAAAATAACTGTAGTAAGAAAAACAAATGAAAAATGCGAACTAATGTAACGTCGTATGGTGAGTTTTTGTTCTTATCGTGGAGCAAAAATATGTTGGAATTTCATGTCGTATCCTGAAAATTTCGTATGCTGGGGCGTTCGTAACCTGAGGTACCACTGTATTTGTGGCAATAACAATTACTTAAATATTATCTGTAGTTTGACACCGAAGAAGTTTGATGTCTAAATAATTGTAGCTCAAGTTTTTTTAAAAATATTTTCTACTTCCTACCTATCCACCTTTAAATAAAAATAATTCGTTATACGTTGTGAAATAATTTAATAACTTTTGTAAATTACAATGTTCAATCCAACCAGTTATATCAGATGTTTTTCATCTATAAAATTTAATCCCTGAATTTTGTTTTGGTAGTAAAATCGACTTACGATTGATCTTTCGCCGATAATTGACACTTTTTAAGAGAATATATGTAAATGTCTGTTACAGCTTGTATAGGACTGTGTAATGTTTTTGTGGCCAACTGTCGATAACTTGAAATGCTTCCAAATCTAATAGCATCGCATTCTGCAATTTTATATAAATAAAAATTAGGATTAGTATTACTTTATATTTAACAAGAAAATAACGAAAAGATTTCATACATAAATATTTTTTACTGACCATATAGAATGTTCATCGATATACCAAATGTCATGTCTTCGTATTTTTGATATCATATCACGATTATATTTAATTATTTCATCCATTTTATCGAATTGTTCATGTGAAATCTATAAAAATATAATTTATAAAATTTATATTGTAATTGAATTGAAATGAAACTTGTCTTTTTGAAATTAGTTACTAAAATAAAATGAAAGAAAAAGATTATAAAGTATAAGAATTTAACTCAAATTGTATAGTAGCAATAATAATAATAATATTTAAAAAGTGGGTTTCTTCATATCAAATTTATACTGTCTGATCAAACCAACTCATTAAACTTTGAATTACTATATGGTTTATAGTAAACCAAAAATTTTTTTGAAATATTTATTTAAGTGATAAAATCTAATTAAAGATATTAAATTTATAAAATGAAATTCTGATTATATACATTTTTTATAATCTCATCTCACCTCAATGTAAATTATTGTATGTCAACAAACTTTAAGAATAAATTTTACAACAATAAGGTAATTTATTTTAAAAAACAACTTATTTAATTAAGTTAACTAAAAACATAATAAAATTGTAGCACTATCTGTATTAGTTATGTATTAAAATACGTACAATTAGATTAGTTTTAAATATGTTTTAAAAACTTATATAGGCCTATAATATGATTACATCTATTTATTTAATATTAACTTATTATTAATTATGTTGTCATTTTAATTAATTTCTATATATTTAAATTTAGGCTATATTACTGGGTATTTATTTAAATATAATTAAGAAATAGTTTAAAGAATATTAAACTCCAAGAAAACGAAACTCTGATTGTAATTCCTTAAAATTTGTTTTTCATATGATAGATATAAACCATGCAAATAATTGTCTTTGTCAGTGAGCCTTCGCAATGTTTCCGGACAAATGATACAACGAAGCATAAACACTCTTAGTTACTTTTAATAAACTGAACCAATACAAGTTGAACAGATAAAAAATCGTCATCACACCATGCAATATGTAGACGCCATGTTTTTCGTCTTTTTTTTCGCTCGTTTTTTACAACCAATCCAATTAAAAAACAACCGTTATACACGCGCCCCCTGCCCAAACATACACTTTTTTCTGAACTAATACGATTGATACCGAACCTTGAAATAACACCTTGAAATAACAGTTTCAATATGACGCGGTTACAAGAACAATGTCACTAATTAGTTAATGAAGAGGAAGGGGCATATCTTCACAATAGGTCGCTTGAGCTGTTGACCGGATGCCAATTTGACTGTCACGACCCGTACACAATTGTCCTCTCCAGGATGAAGTTCACAAACTCTCGCCATTTTCCATTTTGTGGGTGGCAGATCGTCGTCCTTGAGTAACACTAACTCACCAATCTTGATGTTCTCCCTTTTGGCTGCCCATTTAGGTCGTTGTTGTAGGCGTGCAAGATATTCACGTTTCCACCGTCTCCAGAAATGTTGCAACATCTGTTGGCCTAGCTGCCATCGAGAAAGGCGGTTAGAATTGATGCTAGTGAGATCTGTCTCAGGAATTGCTGAAAGGGAATCGCCAATAATGAAGTGTCCTGGTGTGAGAACGGTGAGATCATTAGGATCACTGCTAAGTGCTGTGAGTGGTCTGGAGTTTAAGCAGGCTTCAATTTGACACAACAGTGTTTCCATCTCCTCATAAATCAGTCGATGAGGTCCAAGTTCCCTTTTTAGATGGTATTTCACTGACTTTACTCCAGCCTCCCACAGACCTCCAAAGTGAGGGGCTGCAGGAGGGCTAAAGTGCCATGAAATGCCTTCGTTGGCAAGCCAGTTGTATATCTCATTAGTATGTTGCCTGATTGAAACGTATTTAATGAATTTTTTGAGTTCTCGATCTGCTCCAATAAAATTGGTACCACAGTCACTGAAAATATCAGAGCATTTTCCTCGTCGAGCTACAAACCGCTTGAGAGCTGCTAAGAATGCATCTGTTGTCAATGCACTGACTAGTTCAAGCTGAACAGCTCGAGTGACAAAACACACAAACACTGCTAAATATGACTTGAATGAATGTTGACCTCGGCCCTTGATGACGCGAAGTTGAAAGGGGCCTGCAAAGTCGACTCCACACTTAAGGAAAGGACGAGCTGGATTCACCCGCATTGGCGGTAAGTCACCCATAAGTTGTTGGGCAGTTTCTGCACGTTGTCTCACGCACTGAATGCATCGTCTTATGTGATGTCGAATGGCGTCCCGGGCTCCAATTATCCAAAAACGTTGATGTAAGGTTGACATCACTAGTTGGAGACCTCCATGTAGTAATCTCTTATGCTCCATGTCTATGAGTAAATGTACAAGCTTGTTACGATGTGATAACAAGATGGGATGTGCTTGATCAGGAGTTATCTTTGCATATATGTGCTTGATCAGGAGTTATCTTCGCATATCTAAGTCTTCCGCCCACCCTGAGAATTCCGTTGCGGTCAAGATAGGGATGAAATTGTGTTATTTTACTTTTGCTTGGAAGCGGTTTGTTCTTCCTTAACGTCTCAATCTCGTGACAATTGTTGATAAATCTGTGTATGAATGCTGTGACTCTTTTTAGCTTAAACAATGATGAAAACGTGGTCAATAATGACTCATCCATTTGAGTGTAAGCCACAATGGTATGGATCTTCCTTTCTTCGACAGCACATTCTGCACTATTACATATCGCAGGATTTGTTTCTGGTAATTGAGTGTCATGAAGACAATGAGGGCTATGCCACCAAAGTGACTGAGATAGTAACTCAGTTGCTGAAATTCCTCTTGAAGCACAGTCCGCTGGATTTTCTTCGCTAGAAATGTGATGCCATTTGGCGTTGGGAATAGTCGTTTGAACTTCCGCAACTCGATTGGCAACAAATGTTTTCCAGCGTTGTGGAGATGATGATAACCAAGAAAGTGTGATCGTAGAGTCTGACCAGGCATGAACCTCGGTGATTGGTCTTCTTAGGGAGGACTGAATTGTTCTGATCAGTCTGGACAGAAGAACAGCTCCACATAACTCCAGTCTAGGCAAACTGGTTGTTTTCAAGGGTGCAACTCTCGTTTTTGCCGCTATGAGATGATCTTGACTACCATTATTATGAGACATAGTCCTCAAAAAAACAGCTGCTGCAAACGCCCTTTCAGATGCATCACAAAAGCCGTGTAGACTAATGTCTTCGATACTTGACTGACTAACACAACGTTGGATCTTGATAGTTCTAATTTGATCCAACTGGTCTCGAAATGCCTGCCACCTTTTCTCAAGGTCTCTCGGTAAATGATCATCCCAGTCTGATTTGACCTGCCAAAGTTCTTGAAGCATCAACTTTGCTCGAATAGTTACTGGTGCAATTAAGCCAAGCGGATCAAAGATCCTTGCAATATCTGACAACATTGTTCGTTTAGTACTATTGATGTGTTCTGGTAACGTGGTTGCAGTGAAGGAAAGATGATCAGTTGCAGGATGCCACTGAAGACCTAATGTCTTGACTGACTTCTCATTATCTATTTGAAATGGCAGTTGAATCTCTCTTAGTTCTGGTGAAACTGCATCTAGTACTAATGGGTGATTTGACACCCACTTCCGAAGATTAAACCCGCCCTGTTGTGTCAGTTGAATGAGTTCTGATTGAAGTCTAAAGGCTTCTTCTGTTGAGTTAGCTTCTGTCATCAGATCGTCGACATAAAAGTCTTGAGTAAGCACTGTAGCTGCCAATGGAAATCTTGCACCCTTGTCCTTAGCCAATTGTTGGAGGACCTTGGTGGCTAGATATGGTGCTGAAGCCGTACCATAGGTGACTGTTAATAATCGATAATCCTTAAGAGGCTCGGTTGGATGGTTCCTCCAAATGATTCTTTGAAAATCTCTGTCATCTGGATGTATCCAAATCTGCCGGTACATTTTCTCAAGATCCGCTACCATAGCAATAACTGGAAACTGAAACCGAATTAACAAACTGAGTAACTCATCCTGTATTCTTGGTCCAACCAGAAGCTCATCATTGAGTGAGTGTCCTGTGGTAGTTTTAGCCGATGCATCAAAAACAACCCGAAGCTTGGTTGTAGTACTTGTGTCTTTGAACACTGCATGATGGGGAAGATAATATGTCCTTGAAGGATTGAGATGGATTTCCTCCTGTCTAATTGCTTCCATATGTCCCAAGGATAAGTATTCATCCAAAAAAGATTTATATTGATTATACAGATTGTTGTTCCCTTGTAGCCTGTGTTCTAGTTGTTGAGACCGTCTAATGGCAGTCTTTCTTGAATCTCCAAGCCTGTGTGTGGAGTTTTTGAAAGGAAGACGAACCACATACCTGCCGGTTGAATCACGTGAATGTGTACTATAAAAAATGGTTTCAAACAGTTGTTCTTCTGTTGTTAAATGTCTTATTTCAGGCAATTCTTCCAATTCCCAGAATTTTTTTAGTTGATTATTAATACTGCAGTGATGAACCTTGACTGAAGCTGGTTGTTGGTTCATACCTATTGGTCCTGATAGTATCCAACCAAATACTGTGTTCAATGCGCTAGGAGTTCCTGGTGGTCCCTTGCACTGTCCTGGACAAATAATCTCATTGTAGACATCTGCACCTAGAAGTATATCTATTGTGCCTGGTTTATGAAAGGTTGGGTCCGCCAATTGAAGCCCCCATATATGTGACCAATTGGACGGGTCACAGTGGAAATTCGGCAAGTTTGTTGTCACATTTGGAGTAATTAGTGTTTCTACACAAATATCCTCTGACTTTCTTGAGGTAACCCTTATGTTAATGCATAAACTACTGGACGCGGTGCTAATACCTGTAGAATTAATTCCTGAAATAGCTACGTTAGATGGTTTCCGCTTCAGTCTAAGTTGCTGAACACAGCGTTCAGTAATGAAACTTGTTTGAGAGGCAGAATCCAATAGAGCCCGACATGGTTGTAGTTCTCCTTGAAAATTCCTCACTTGAATGATAGCAGTGGATAGCAATACTTGTCTATGCCCACTCGATTGCTTTGACATGTGTGACATGACTTCTGGTTCTACAACCCTGCTGGAGGTTGTTGCACTGTCATATGGCCCATCTTGATGTATAAGGGTGTTATGTTTATGTGAACATTTTTTGCAGTGACCTGCTTTACACTTTGTTGCCGGATGTCCAAGCTTTAAGCAGTTGTAGCATAACTCATGCTTCTTAATTAGATCTCTCCGTTCGTTCACCGATGCGCCCAAAAATGTCGAACATTTGAAAATTGGATGTGTGCCTTGACATATGGGACATGCTGGCTGCACAATACCATGGTATGCTGCAGCAGTTATTTGCTTGGACTGTGAAGACGGACGAAGTCTGGATGTTGGTCTTGATTGGCCAGAATGAATATTGGTTTGGGAAACAGCCAGTGCTCTAGCTCGCTGTTCTAAAAATGAAGTTATGTCTTTAAATGTTGGTTGTTCTGTGTCCTTCTGAGAAAGTTCCCATTGTCTACGAGATTCTTGATCCATTTTTTCTTTGAGAATATACAGCAGAATAGAGTCCCAATGTTGCACTGGTTGCTTTAATACCTTTAGTGCACGAATACACTCATTAGTTGTATCTAGTAAGTGTCGTAACGCAGTGGCTGATTCTTGTGCAATGTTGGGTTGCTTGAATAACTTCTGAATGTACGAATCAATTATTTCACGATTGTGATTGTATCTTCTTAACAATGTATCCCAAGCTTCCTGATAGTTTCCATCCGTGATGGAGATAGATTGAATCAATAAAGCGGCGTCCTGTCGTACTGACGATTTCAAATATTGGAGTTTTTGGGCACTAGATAGCGTAGAATTATTATGAACAGTGGCTGTGAATAAATCGCGGAAAGAGAGCCATTCGTCGTACTTGCCGTTAAAAACCGGGAGTTCCAATCTTGGAAGTTTAACTTCTGTTCCATTCGCACTGTTGTGTACTGAACTTATGGTTGCTGAATTTTGTTCAACAGTCATGAGTCGAATGGTCATGGCTTCCACGCGACCAATTAGTGTGTTATATTGAGCATTATGTACCTCAAATTCGTCTTCCAAACATTCTCCAATAATGTCTTGTTGTAACTGATCGATTTCGTCCGATAATGTGTTTAATTTTTTAAGATATAGTTGTGCCGTTACCTCACCGAGAGGTTGAACTCCATGTTCCTCTAATATGTTTTCAATTCTAGTTACCCGTCCCTTTAGTACCTTCCTTCTGTTTAAGAGTGCCTCCATCTTGAATCCTTAAGATGTCCTCCAATTCCCAATGTTTCCGAAATGCCTATACTATCCACGTGGTCGTATTGATTTTCGTCCGAGAAAAAATTAAACGGTACTCACTGTTTAAGTTTTCGGGTATCCGGCTGGATGTCGATGGATGAAATAGCTGATGTCTCTATTAGGCTTAACCCTCGTCAACCACACCAGAATCCGCCTCGACGGACCAATTAAATGTCAGTGAGCCTTCGTAATGTATCCGGACAAATGATACAACGAAGCATAAACACTCTTAGTTACTTTTAATAAACTGAACCAATACAAGTTGAACAGATAAAAAATCGTCATCACACCATGCAATACGTAGACGCCATGTTTTTCGTCTTTTTTTTTCGCTCGTTTTTTACAACCAATCCAATTAAAAAAACCGTTATACACGCGCCCCCTGCCCAAACATACACTTTTTTCTGAACTAATACGATTGATACCGAACAGTCGTCTTATCGATTTTTTATGTCTAACTGTTAAATTAAAAAAATAATAGACACATTATAAAAATCAGTTTACCGAACTCTTTAGAATGTTCTGCTACAAGCTTAAGCTTCCTGAACAGGGTGTTAAACAGAGATTTTTGTCGTGAAGCATCAATGCCTCAAATGAATAATCATCTCTATATTAGAAAATTAAGTTGCGCTAATTTGCAATAATAATAATTTTTAAAAAAACAGGAATTTAAAATAATATAACATTAAAGTTTTGTTGATTGTAACAAAAATTACAGCTCTAATTATATTTAAATTCAAAGGATATTGACACGTTTTTACTACAATAGCTATATCTAAGGTACGGTCTAAAGATACGGTGTTAATATTAATACAGTATCTTTAGACCGTACCTTGAATAACAGGATATTTAAAAATGAATCGAAAGCAGTTAATTTCCAATAATAATTTTAAAATAAAAGAATTTCATTTTTGTATTTATATATATAACTTTTGTTCTTTCAAAGTTGCTAATTTGAAATATCATTTTTCTTCTGTTTTTGAGTCAAGAGATGGTACAAATATTGCGTATAAGAGACTGGTTCGATAGTTCGCCGAGAACTTCTTTTGCAGGAATCTCTTATTAAAAGATCATCATTTTCAAAAAGTAAGTACAGTAGAACCCCTCTAATCCGTCACCTTTGGGACTGGGGGTATGGTCGGAACGCAAAAAAGGTCGGATTATCAGAAAAAAGTAAAATAAACGATATTCCTCTTTGTCCAGTCTTTGTAGCACCGCTAATTTTTGATTTAATGAAAGAGTAACGTGTTTACGTTTCACTCCTGACATGTTGAAAACACGCACAAAACTGTACACGTACACACAATGTAAAACATATACTGTAACGAACACAGAAAAACGCCACGGACGGTGAGTCACCGACGAGTCGGGACAAGTTTCTCGACTACGACCACGGTCGGATTAACCAGAGCGACAGACTAGCCGAGGGCGGACTAGAGGGGTTCTACTGTATTTTTATTTAAAAGTTTGCCTTTGACAAAAAGTTTGACTTAGACCTAATTCAAAATAAAAGTAAATCTTCAAAAATTCACAAGTTTAACATCAAAACATTTAAGAATCAATTTAAGGATGTAGTAAAATTTGATGCAATGAACGACCATTTAGACAAATATGTAAATATTTAAAATGTGTCTTTTAGAGGTTTAGTAAAGTTCATTAACTTATTATTGTAATATATACATAACTATTTTCCTATAACTATTTTCTTCAAAAGTACAGTCGATCCCCTATAACACGGTAGATACGTTCCGGTTTTTATGAATCCATTTTCTACGAGTCCAGCTAATCACAGCCCAGCACGTATGCAGTTTACGGACTACGGCTGTTTGAAAGGTTTCTTCCATAAAATTAATCGATCCTAGACTAATTCGACTCAACATTTACAAAATACGTATAATGTTTTGGGAATAATCCATATAAACTATTGTGAGATCAGCCAGGACGTAGATCTCAGTCTACGACACTTACGGCGCGCGATCGTGAGATCGGCTTTCGGAACTTTTTATAGAAGGGCTGTTATATTTAGGAAAAGGGGATTCAAGACTGTGAGGTCTTTATCCCAAATTGTCAGGGTCCCGACACCAGTTAATCAATCTTATTATACGCGGATTAACACGCGTATGCGATCTGATTCGGTCACACAAACAAGAGACATCCCAATTAAAAACGATATAATAGATTTAATAAAACAAGGAAATAAACTCATACAAACATATAAATGAACGAGAGATAGAACTACTACAACTAATATACAAATCGGTAGATAGCTATACTTCTATTATACCGAATGCGCGATCGAGAGAAAGAGCTCACAAAACGTTATAAAACATACGACCTGTTTAGTTGTCGTTCGTCTTCTTCTTGTAGGTAAGGGACACTTTGTAGATAAAGTTCATTACTTCTTCGTATGGGAGATCACTATGTGCACAAATATAAAAGTATCACTTCTATGTGCAGGCTCTAGACTTATTCTGTCTGTGACTCGTCTAAGGACGTTGGTCATCCGGAGGGAAACTTATGTGGAGTTTGTATGCTTTCGGATCAGTCGCTGAACTCTCCAAATTCAGACAAGTTCCCTCTATATCTTCTGCATACCGACCACTCATCGGCCAGTAACTCTTTCGTGAGAACGGATGAAAGGGGGGATGGATGAGGGGTAACCATTTCCCATCTGAGCTGGATTTTAACCAGATAAAGGAGTCAGAGGATGTTCTCTTCTGTAAAAGGAAGTAACATCTGTTATCTGCCTTTTCCCACATTAAAACAGTATTTTTTCTCACAAAACGAACGAATATTTTGTGACAATATTTAATATTATTAATAAAAATTATTAAATTAGACCCAGGGGCCTTTCGGGTCTCACACTATGCTATAAACAAAAAATTGTAGGATTACTTACCGAGTGTGCACCGTTCGACTACGCCGTTTCTTAATCTTGTTTTCGTCATGGAGATTGTCATCAAATGGCGCTCGCGTGCTTCCTGATAAATTATTTTTTTTGCGAAAAATTCGCTGAACTTTGGAGACCTCGTTAACATAAATATAATTTTTATGGACGTTAAATAATAAATGGTTTTTGGTAGGTCCGCTGCTCGTTTAAACTCAATCGTTTGTACAATTCTGTGGCGACACGAGTCGGCGATGACGTTTTACCGAATTATAGGAGATTTTTTAGCATGTTTGTACGAATACTGTCATAATTATTTTGCAGTGATATAGGAATCCGAACTGTAGGAACCCGTGTTATAGGGGGTCAACTGTACTTCTATACTATTATTATAAAGAGGTAATGTTTGTATGTATGTAAGTTTGTTTGCAGCAGGTAATCTCCGAAACTACTCATCCGATTTCAAAAATTCTTTCACCAATTAGAATGGAACCTCAGGGCGGACATAAGCTGTATATTATTCCGTTAAACATTCATATAAATTAAAATATATAATCTAGGTTAAGGCTTTTATGTCCAACAGATGGCGCTACGAGTACGACGCCCTAAGTTTGCTTTTCTGTGAGGCATTACGCTTTTCTGTGAAAATAAACTAAAGCAGATCATCTTCTATCTATCTATATAAATAAAAATGTAATGTTCGTTTGTTCCTACCGATTCCTTTGAAATTTTGGCTCAACGCTGCATTCGAATACGCACGTGTTTTTATATAATATACGTGTCGAAATTCCCCCCACTGAAGGGAGATGGTTAGGATTAAGGCTTACCGT